AAGGATATAACTAACAATTATATCGTAAAAATCATGGAATACTAAGACGATTCATATATTTCCATCCACATGTATATATTCTGTAATCATACTACCTTCATATAATGTTGGTCCCTATTTAGATATAGCCTCATATAATTTTGCCCTCTAAATTAGACCTATTTTATAATAAAGTAACTATACATCTATCTTGTGGCACATGGTGACACAGGTAGGTGATCCAATTGATCCCCAAATAGTAATCTGAAATCGAATCGATAATACCAATATTCCTTGGGTGTTTTCAAAGAGTATCCTTTGCACGTCTTCTAACTATTAATAAGTCTATGATGGTATATTTGCTGTCACGTATTATTGAGTTTATATTTATGTCGAATTGCATTTTGAGCTTACTAACCTGCTGCAAAATAATTCAGATATGTTATCTTATTCACTTTGCAAGCATGCCTACTACTAATAAAATAACATACTAATTTGATAACCCCATAATTTTTGTTAACAAACTATTATTTGTTTCTACTCTTCTTTTATTTTCTATTTGCAAATCGTCATGTTAATAGACTTGTTAACAACACACACAATAAAAGTAACTTGGTTTAGTACTTTGACATTCGTACTAATTCTTATTTCTCATTCGTTTTTATAAAGTTTTTCAGTTTGTTCTTTGCCATAACCATGAAAATATGACCTACATTGTAGCTACCATTTCATACAACACCCTTTCGTTAACACTCACAACCAAAAGAGAGTTGGAGTAACGTTTACAATGCCAAAGATGCGTAAAGTGTATGGCAACAAAAAAAAAACAACAATATAATTAAATGAAAGACCGCTTATGGCTTTATTCTGTTCGCGGGAAAAGAAGGTAAAAACTTAACTCCTAACCATATCATTGCACGCCTAACAAATTAAAACAATATAACATGCGAGTAAACAAGAAGTGTGAACTTCTTTCTAACTGAGTTTTGTTTTTTTACACATAAAATAGCATTGTTTTCATATATACTTAGTGTATTTCCGCAAACGTCATTTTTTGCTCTGTGAATATATATATATCCTATACAACACTTTTAACAGAAGATGTATGCAGCTAATTTTTGTTTACACACAAATGACCCAACTGACCATCTGAGATTTTTATGGTTACTTGCAAAAATGACATGTTTTTCTATAATAAAATTCATGGCTTGAATTTGTCTTGTCAAGACAATCGAAAGACTTAAGAAACGAACTTCAAACAAATTGTATTCACAAAGACACATTGAGGTGATGTGCGATAGACTATTATTCCATCAAATTTAATTAGCATTCAATCAAATGCCATAGAAAGTGATAAGTTATTATGTATGCATAGATGTACAACGGTAAAAATAAAGACACACACACACATTGATACATATTAAGGTGGGTAATAATGTTATTAATCACCTTAAATTCTTTGAGATATTTATATTTTTAATGTGAATAGACTGTAAAGTAAAACATTAATCATACAGCTAACTATTAGACATAATTCGTTGTAAATATTAGGGTTTCAGTGAATAAAAACATATCTGTGGAAAGTCTTAGTTTTTACATAGATCTTCTATTAAGTATTTTGCTCCTCATGAGAAATAGTAGAACATTTTGGATTCGTAATAGGCAATAGACTTTTTCACAAATATTTATTAATGTGGGTACTGGTATTGACATATTGTTTTTATAATGTAATAACAGATTTTGCACAGTTTCCCCACAGAAGTGCTAATTTTTGTGGGGAAACTATTAGGAGTACTGATTTGTGTGTTTTTAGGTAAATAGTGACATGGAATTTTTATATTAAAAACTGGACCAATATAGACAATTTTTGTTATTACAAAATAGTCAGACATAATCCCAGTTTGGTTTTATAAAAACAACTTTTTATTAGTGGCGGTAATTATGGTATTGTTCGCCAAGAAGTAAGGCACTATTATGAGAAAATACGGCTAACCTTATATGGAGGCTATACCAACAAATTGACATTTATTTATATATACATATATTACATTACATCCACATAAGTGGGAAAATGTGGTTAAAGCATTCGAAATACTGAACATGGTTCGGTACCATTTTATGGGAGCTATACCAAACCGGTTTACGGTTTTTTGTTAGAAATATTTGACAATCTAAAAAAATCTTACATTATTATTTCGATCAAAGATTGTGATTGTCAATTTATTTTTTAGCACTGTTCTTACATTTATATTCCAACGCAGCATCATACTACAAATTTTAGCTACCAAGCTCAATTGAAATTTTAACTCGCCTACTTGTCTTCAAGCACCAACCCAAATTCCCAACAAACATATCCAAATCCTAGACTCTACTATGGATCACCACGCCAAATTTCATAACTCTCTATCTACATATTGACCCACTATCATCGTAACCCCAATTATCATTTTACAAAAAAAAATAATTTTGATTTTCTATAATATCGGATAGTGAACAATGGAATAGCGGAACACTAATTCAGATGTCTGCTGATAACTGTTGCTATACCGATGGCTCTCGACTAGGAGGAAGAACCGGGTACCGAAATTTCTCTTCGACTTACAGATCGCAGCACAATCCTACAGGCAGAGGTTTAAGCTATAACAGAGTGTCTTAACTTGTTAAGTTCAAACCTAGGACAAATTAGAGTAGCTATGATGTAAGGTGGATTCTTTGTAATTATATATAAATTGGCCCTTAAATTGTAATTTGGCTTCAATTACAAAGTAAATAAAGACAAATTGAATTAAAAAAAAATACAACAAATATCATTACGGATAGTAAACAAACTATAATTTCTCACAACAAGAACCTGTTATATGGGTACCGAGTCACACATGAGTCACAGGCAACGAGATAGCCAACCAACTAGCTAGAAGTACCACTGCACTACCCACAATATATGTGAATACCGCCAAACCCATTAGCGCAAACGGCAAGACATCAAGCCATGGTCGAATGAGATCCAAAATTTTTTTTGGATAATGAGGGGACAGGTCTAAAGGCACGCCTACTCACGATTGTATGCGAAGGTAGCAGAAGATGCAGAACGTGTGGGGGAAGACAGTGAAACACTGGAACAGTTCCTGTGCCATTGTCCAGCATTTACATGCCTTCTAAAACAATTCTTGGGACATGACACTATTCACGAACTAACCGATCTGAACGGGTGTGAATGGAGAAGACTGAAGGAGTTCGCAAAAAACACAGAATTCCTAGAATAATAGGGGGATGAAACTCAAGATGCTTAATCTAAATTTACCCTAATTCTAACTTTCTTTTCATTTCTAGAGCCCGCAACAGCCCCTAAGTGTATGTCCTTCTTTTGTTGGACTTTTCTGCCTAACCTAATCACGAACATTTGAAATCGGCGAATGCGGGTTCCCCTTAATGTACAAATTTCAAAAAAAAATCTACAAAAAAAAAAACTCCACCTACATCAGCCCTATTCCCACATCAAGCTGCTAGCTGTATGCGTACATCTAATTCCAATTGTACTAAATTTGATATACTTTACAATTCATCATTCCAAAACCAACTTCCTATATCAACCCTACACGGTAATGGCGTTCTCTCTACCAAAATTAAATATTCCACCTCTATGTGTTCACTAAATACACAACTGTACTAATTACCATTTTAGTACTAATTCTCACAAACACCATGTTTTTACAATCCTTAACACAAACAGTGACCTAATACTCAATTTCAGAGTTTCAGTGCATTTATTAGCCGAATAATATTCGAAATTTTGTACTTTTCGTGCCATATTTGTACGAAAGTCCTTTTTATGTTTGGAAATTCGTATCATATAGGTACGAATTTCCAAAATTCCAGCCGTATCACACGTCTTCAATATTTCATTTGCGCACCATTGGCCAATGAAGCCAACTTGTAGCCCATTATCATTACATATAGTTCCTCCGTCCCATCAATCGAATTTTGAAAATTCAATATTTGTTACGATCAGTTTGATTCGATACCTATTAAATTTCTATGGATTTTAATATAAAACCTAATGAGATGAAATTTAGCATAACTCATTTATTCGGCGAAAGGACTAACCTTCTTGAAAATTGGTCCAGATTTATATACATATATATATATATATATATATACAATTTCGTTCGATTTTCTGTAAATGTTGCACCAAACTTCCAAAATTTGTCCGATTGAGACAACATTTTGCGTACCGAATTGAGTGGAGGTAGGTCAAGTTGTGTGGAAATAGGATAAGATTTATATATGCTTCCATATATAGTATTTTCCGATTTGCTGTGAATGGTCACCAATCTAAAAAAGTTTTTCCGATTGAGACAACATTATATATGGCGTACAAAATTGAGTCCAGAATGACGTGTCTTAAGTTTTGTTGAAATCCCATGAGATATAGTTCCGTCTGATCTCCTGCACCAAATTATCAAAGTGTTTTAGCGACTGAAGCGAGATTTTGTGCAGCATATTAAATTGAACCTAGAATGATGAATATTAAGTTTTGTCGAATTGTTTCAGCTCCTATAATTTTATTTCGTCCGATTTAATGTAAATGGTACATTGAATACCCAACATTTGCCCGATTGAGACAAAGTTTTACATAGCGTACAAAATTGATCGTAGAATCGGAAAATCGATTCGGATTTAAATCAATAATTTTCATCAGCCCTCCATCATATGTTTGAGGATATAAAAAATATATATTTTCCCCGCCATACTTATCAAAGTTTTTTATACGTTGTAGTAGATAATTTGCATACGTGCATAACCTTGATATAACTTGTTTCCAATTTACAGAAAATTTTTATATTGTCTATCTTAAGTAAAAGTTTGGAAATTTCGAGAGAGAAAACAACAGCACAACATTTTGATCACAAATAAGATGAGCAGTCGCCAAAACAAGTATTGCACAAATAAAACACAGATGAAAAAATTACAAAACTTGATAAAAAAAACATACGAAATCGCACATAACATTCAAAACTTACCATTTCTTTGGTGGCCATTATTAATACTGTTGTGTGCCGCTGCAGGTATTGCACTCCAACTGTGGACATTTGGCATCAAAGCAGCCAATGCCAGCAAAAGCAAACTCATGCTGTAATATCGATCCATGTGTCTGGATCCACAAATACCAATTCTGGTTATAGTTCTTGATTTTTTTGTATCACAAAACAAAAGTAAACAACGTCTAACTTAAGAAACAAAACAAAGCCACACTCTCACACTTCACCAGAAATCCGTTACTTTAATTGTCATCGATATGTTCGTTTATGTTACTAGTATTCCAGTTGTTGTTGTTGCATTTATGTTAATACCACTACGAGCCAATAGCGGTTCTATACTGTTTTACATCATTATCATAATTCGGGGTTTGGAGAATCAAAATTGTTTTCCGTTGCAGCAACCGTTCGTTCGTTTGTCGTTATTCGTTGACGTCTTCTCCTTTTTTGGTTTATTAAGTGAATTTCTTTAAACCGCACCACACAATTTCACTCAATTTATTAACAAACAAACTCATGCATATGGCTGTTGTTACACTTTTATTCCGTTGCACATATTTGTGTTTATTTTTTATTTTCAAGATGATGCTCAGCACCAACTAAGTGACTGACTGAAGAACTAACGAAAAACCATCCGCACACTACCAAGTTCAAGGTAATATTAAGCCATGACTAGCATACCAAAGAAGTTTTATACCGGCTTTCGTCTTGGCCCATCGCCGCATACATACACCCGAACTGCCTAAGACAGCTAAGAGTGGTTTTGGCTTTAAACGAAAGAGAAATGTATTTTATGGAAGAGAGTATAACCACAAACAAGTTCATTGAGTTTTTGGAGAGACAACAATCAGGCATAACCATGAGCACTTCACTTCATGGAAACCAATGCCAACTGAGACCACATAGTGGGAGCTAGCTATGTTGGCCATTGCGCTAAACCGTTAACTAGTTATGTGGCATGGTAGTGCTAATTGTCCAATGGCCAAACTGGAAAAATGAAATATTTGCACACTGCCACATAAAGGACCTGTTCAGTGTCGTGTCACCAAAAATGGTAAACTATTGAATATTGACAGGTTTGTGTCTTAAGTCTTTCGTTTTGCTAACTCTATTGAAACAAAGTACACTTCAATGAAATATTAATTTGTTTAATATTTCAAATGTGTACGATTTTCATTCAATTTAGTTCAAAAACTATAATGACAAATTATTGAAATTATTAAAAAGAAAATCGATTCGTACATGGAACTGTGGTGATATTGAATTTGATTTATCCACAACGGCTATTTTCTAATTTAGATATAAGTATCAAATAGAATTTCAATAATTTCAATAAATATGGATGCAACGTAATTTATGATCAGTGTAGTTTTTTAATTGATGTGTTAAAATCGATAATTGCAATTATTGGAAACCATGTACAGTGGCCAAGTGAGAAAAATGTATCTTTATGCATAAAAGAGTTAAGTGATATGCACTGAATGATGATTAACGACCAGACGGAATGGCTAATGTTGGATATTTTGCTTGTAGGAATGTGAATATTCCTACTTCTAAGGTAGGAACAGTACTAAGAGGCACTAAAATGACTACTTCCAATAATTAATGTTCAGACGAAACGGCCAAAGCTATAATCCTGTACTTTTTGTATGTGGTTCAATACTGGTGCGTAGATGTTTGAAATTCGTACTATGGGATGACTAAAGGACAACTGCAAGGTACTATTGTACAACTGACATTTAACGACCTAGAATTCTGAAATTTGAACTATGATTTCGTGATGGAGCGTGTAGAAGAAGAGGCTGTGGAAAATTCTCACCAAATACCACTTCACCACTTTGGGTAAATTCAACAGATGAATCTTAACAGACGTCGCATTTTTGATTTTCACGAAACTTAACACACATCATTCTAGACTTTATTCAGTACGCTGTACCAAATTTCGTGGAAATCGAAAGGTATACAGAGACTTTGGTACACCATTTTCCTTAAATCGGACGAAAATATATATGGGAGTTATATCTAAATCTGAACCGATTTTCACGAAACTTAGCACACATCATTTTAGGCTTAATTAAGTACGCTGTGCCAAATTTCGTGCAAATCGAAAGATATATAGGGACTTTGGTGCACCATTTACCTTAAATTAAGTACGCTATGCCAAATTTCGTGCAAATCAAAAGATATATAGGGAATTTGGTGCACCATTTATCTTAAATCGGACGAAAATATATATGGGAGCTATATCTAAATCTGAACCGATTTTTCCCAATTTCAATAGGGTTCGTCCTTGGGCCAAATAAGTGACGTATGCCAAATTTCATCCAATTCGGATAATAAATGCGACCTGTACTTTGTTTACAATTTAACATGGACAGACGGACAGACGGACGGACATGCATAAATCGACTCAGAAAGTGATTCTATGCATATTCTCAATAGCAACAATGGGTCTATCTCGATTATTTTTGCCTGTTACAAACATATGCACAAAGACATAATACCCTGTACCACAGTGTGGTGAAGGCTATAAAAATAAGTTCTCGGTCCACTACGACAATAGGTATCAATTTAATTGGTATCAATTTAAAGGCCAACCACTCCTCTTGGATATACTATCAACTTCTCGGCTCTATGTCCTTCAGGAGTAAATATATACGCCACAGAATACAAAGTTTGTAATTTTTCACGCAAAAGTCTGGGTCCATTTGACCAGCTAAATATTGACCGATCTTTATCAAAACAGGCATGCTTTTTCCTTGGCCCAATCCCCTTCTCCATGTAAAATTCGAGGTGTTTGGGCTATAATTGCGGCCTGTGGAGCGACCAGAAAACCCGACAAAAATTAAGTATTTGGTCCATTTCATCCCCTAAATATCAATCGATATTTACCAAAAACAATAGGGGTTTTCATTGGGCCGAACCCTTTCTACATGCAAAATTTCGTGAAGATTAGTCCATAACTGTGACCTGTATCGTGTTTACAAATTATAATGGACGGACGGACACACATGTCTAGATCGACTCAGCTAGTCGAGATATGACGATCGGTATACTTAAAGCTGGGTCTAGGACCAATATTTCGCGGCGTTACAAACTCTTGGGGCTGCACAAAGCTATAATAACCTGACAACATAGTTATGTAGGGTATAAATAGATTTCCAGGCGCATCAGTCTTGTGCGTAGCTCTTCCAATTTAAAATACCATGTTCCGAAATTTTGTCTTGCACTTGATCTTTCCCATCAAATTCGTGGCCTTCTCGTTCTGTGTGAACCATTAGTTGGCTCGATTTGATATGCCTTTTGAGTTGGGGCATCCTCATCCATTCTCACAACGTAGTCGCTACAGATTGAAATGCCTTACTATGTCGATGTACGTCGACGCAAATTAACCCACAGATATTTGATTTGCTTTGCGAAAGTACCAATGCTTCAGATCCATAAAACAGCGCAGCTAGTATCAGCGTCTTGTATAATGTGAGTTTGATCTGGCGGGAGGTGGCCTTGTTTTTGAATTGCTTACTCAGACCATAGTAGCATCTGTTGGCCAAGCATCCGGATTTCAAAGCTGATGTTATTAGTTTCGTTTATGGCAGTACTGAGGTATAGAAAATCGTTCACCACCTCGAAGCTGTAATTTTCAATTTCCACAGTTGGTCCGAGTCTACTAGACTTGGCGAAAAGACCAAGCGTTGATACCATCAGCTTGGTCTTTTCGCCATTTACTGCCAGGCCCACTTTGGTACTCCTTTTCAATTTTTCAAAGGTGGCGTTTACGGCTCGCAATGTTCGACCCATTATATCGATGTCATTGACCATTTCTGTTCAAATTTGCGCCTCGTATGGACTTTTCCAGCAGGATGTTAAAGAGATCACACGACAAACTGTCAACTTATCTTAATCCTCGTTCGGCTTTGAAGGGTTTCGATAGGTCCTTTCGTACTTAACCTACTGACCTTGTGCAATTTAAAATTATACGGCATAGCCGTATTAATTTTTCAGGAATTCCAAACGCAACCATGGCTTTAAACACCACTGAACGGAAAGGGATGGAATGTGTCGATGTGTTTTTCATGGAATTTGGCGCAGAGTGAAAATCTGGTCAATGGTAGATTGCGGGTCTGAAGCAGCATTTGTATGGTCCAATAATTGATCATTGGCTTCAGTCGTTCACACAACATCGCACTTTATATACGATGGAAACTTCGTCTTGTCTCCTTTTTTGTGCACGGGGCACAGAATGCTGAAATTCCAACCATTGTGCATGCATTCCTTTAAATTTCTTAGCAGTATTTAAGATCCAAATCCCCCTTCCGACATGAATGAATTGCCAGTGCAATTGTGATTTTTTTGCAAAAAACGTTGCAACGGACAACAGCGTTGCATATCAACGAACATTCAACGCCATTTCAACTTGGAAATGAAAGTTGGGTCGACTTTTTTGTCATAAGCCCTTCGACTGCCCAAACCAAAAAAAAAATAATTTTGTAAGGAAATGAAGAACGTGATCGAAATAATAACACGAGTTATGTTATGTTTGCTACGCTTGATTGGCTCAATGGCCCACATAGCGTCAAGTCACAAAGTCAAAAATATGGTTATTGGTGGTAGGGGGATCTGACAATAAACTTTTTTCATATTATGAAATCCAAAATATTATTTAATACTTTTAGCAATTGGAAAAAATTAGTGTATTTAATATTATTATTTTTAATTTAATTAAATTGTATTTGTATTGCATTCACTGAACTTTTTCTTCTCGCAAGCACACACTCACACATGCACACTTTTTGTCACCATATTTCGAAAACTTTCAATTTTCTGTTTGGACATTACACAGAAAATATTTTTATAAGTAATTAACACTTTTAACAAATTTATTGACAGCCGTCAGTCCTACGGCCACATAGATGAAAACCACATCGTTTTTATTATTTAGTATTTTTTTCATCCACAATTGTTAGTTATTTTTTTTTTAGGTTGAATATTAAATCAAATATCGATGAGAAAGTAATGATTTGTTGTTAACCAATGATGAATGTGTTGACCAAACAGACAATTCTGTTTGGTTTGGACCGACCTACAGCATTTCTA